AGAATCTGAAATGTCCTTGACTCAGTGTTAACACCGCTCAGTGACCACTAACACATCAGTGTGTTACCAACAATATTCTCACTCTAAATCCAAAACACAGCATTGTACCAGCTACTAGGAAGAAAATTAACTATGCCAGCTGAAACCAGCACAATGGGGAACATACTCTACCCAAACTCTACTATACTGTCCTCCGAGGCCAGCATTTCTGGCTAGCAATGTTTGGTTTTGATATATTATTAGGCCAAAAGAACTTAAGACCCTCATTCAAGTCAGTATTGCTTTTGGCTTTTTTGTTTGTTTGGTTAGATGTTTGGGTTGTTTGTTTATTTTTTTCTTAATCTACCGATGCATATCCTTTTCCATAGTTTATCCTGCCTTAGAAGGATCTTGGGATTCCTTCTTTTTTGTTGGAATAAACTCTGTCCCTCTAAATTTCTTACTCATTTCCACAAAAATGTCTGCACTTACTTCCTGACACCTCCTTCCCCATCACCTGCATAACACTGGATTTATTCTGTTCTTCTAAATACATTCTTCCAGTATCACAATACTGAATCTCAGAGTAATTAAACGCTCACTATCTGTGTGAAACAAGACCGGGAGCTTTCAAATTGCAGGGTCGGTCCAACTGAGGGAGTCCATATGACACCTGAGTGGGGCCTCTATTTTATTTCAAAGGACCAGAAATAATTCCAAAAAGGTAAGTGGTTATATGGGATTCTCTTTAGATTTCCCACAATTTATTTCTTAATCTCCAGCTTCTCTCACAAAAATTTCTCCTTTGCAACTCTTAGGGATGCAGCAAAATAAATATAGCAATTCAGCTGTCAGTGACTGAAGGCAGAATCTTTCATTCTACCTGCATTTACTCCTGTCAGGCAAAGCTGCTATGGGAATGCCTACAACTGAGAGTCCCAAGCGAGAGTCAGATGAGCTGGTATATTTACACAGAATAATTTGGTGCTTACCTTTATACTGGTTCAAATCCCAGAAGTAATACAGCCATCCGTGTCAGCTGCAGCAAGCAAGTTCTGGTAGGCCAGTGTAATATAGCAGGACTAAAAAGCCACCACAGAGCTGCCATGTGCCTTCATCAAAAATGCATCAGGTATCTGCTACCCAAAAAGTGTGAAGCTTGGAAGAACAGAAACATCAAAAGCAGAACACAAGGCAGAGAGAACAGGATCTCACAGACAAGGGCTTTGTGATAAGATGCCAGAGGATATGTTTAGGCCCCATTTCCATGAGAAAGGAGTGACACAGATCAGATTAGTGTTTGCATACTCCGTGTTCATTGTCTGCTATTTCATCGAAGCCTATGTAGGCAAGGAATGACCACATCTGAAGGTGAGGCATGACCTTTTCTTAAAAATAAGGCATAACAGCTGAATTTGGAAGTCAGTGACCCAAAGCCCCTGTAGCGCTCTGCTCATACCTATCAACACTTTTCAACCATAGAGCAAATCACTGCATAAGAACTGAATGCAACAGAACTAGAAAGGTATGAAAAAATTAGCATTAGGTCCACTGAGGTAAGAAGGCTCTGTCCACAGAAGATTAAGAGAAAAGCAAAGGTCAAAGAACCATGTCACTTCAAAACACCTCATGCACAGGAAGGCAGCAGATCTGAAACGGATCAAGTGATATTGCAGCATGAGAGAAAAGTGATCTCAGACACTAAAAAATCTATGTACGTAAGAGAATGCTTCTTTCCAGCTTTTGTAGCCAATTATACATTTTAGAACCATTTTAACTGACATCATGTTTGTATGTCAATTCAAAACTAATTTATAAATATATCTTATTCATCAGCTTTTATTCCCTTAAGAGTTTAGAAACAATAATCAACTATAATAGTTACCATATCCCTTTGGCTAGATGTAGTAAGTAGAAATATAAAAAAATGCTCCCAGAGAACCTTTCTGAAAGTATTAGCTGAAGTATAATTGCAATAGAATATAGAAGAAAGCCAGCTGTAACAGGTTGTGCTCTACTTACGCTATATAGTTCTCCCATACGTAAACCAGTCACTATAACTCATTGAATTAGAATAATTTAAAACCAAAACCAAGTGTTGTTACAGTAACACATAAAGGAATGCACAGTGTATTAGTTATCAATGCTTTATTATTGAAAACAAAATTGAAATTTGCTTATCTAGCACATAAAACAATTATTTCTACAAAAAGGAAAGCCTACAAATCTGATAATTTATACAAAGAACAGTTTCTCAAAAATAAAATTTTAATTTAGTAAACTTGTCTTGTGCTCTTTTTTCTTTTTTTTTTAGCACTGTCTGCAATAATCCACCATAAATCCCTGAGCAGAGAGACATATTTTAAACATGTTTTAAATTTATCCCGAAAGAAGAAAGTTATCAAGCCCAGACCTATATTAAAAAATGTATTTTCAGGGACATTCTTGTTAAATTTATGCTAGTCCTTTTTTCTTTTGTTTTTTTTTAAGAATCAAACAAAACCAGTTATCAAGGTAAGCATGACACTGTATCACAGGAGTGCTCCCCTCTTCCCCTTTCTGTGCAATGAATAAAAATTACTAAACAATAATGAGTACAAGCTGAAGGAGACAAATAACACAGTGAATGGTTAAGACCAAGAAGCCATCAAAGTTCGATGGCTGTTGAGCAAATGAAGCTGCAAGATACCACAGTTTTATATTGAGTTCAGTTATAGCAACTATCTAATTTATTTCTATACTTCTTCCAGAAAGTGAGTAAAGCAGGAGAATAAGTTCAAGCTACCATTGTATTCTAACACTGGTTTCAATGATAAAGTAGGAATTCAACTCTCGAACCTTCAATTTTGCTTTTCCAGCCATAACACTATTTGAGAAAAGCCTGACACACTCCACGAAACCAAACAGTCTTGCCCCTCTGGCCCTTTTGGTAGGCCAGTTGTAAACTTAGCAATGTATGGTATTTCAGAGAGCAAAAGGAAACACACACTACTATGATTTTTTACTATACTGACTTTGAAACAGCTACTCCCCAATCTATTTCAATACAGATTTAAAATCCAAGTGTATGATGGGGAGAATGACTAAGAAGGTAAAGTGTAACTCAAGTGTCCCCTTTCCTGTTATGTAGACACACTAACCACAAAAGTTGCGAGGAAAAACAACAAAAAAAAAGAAATAGCACACTTACAGACTGTTGTGTTAATGGCAGGTAACGTTGCTGCAGTCAAGTAATAAATAAATAAATACAGCAAAGTATCCTTCTTTACAGTTTTGTTGGAATGGTGCTCAATGGCTAAAAAGCAAACTGAAAAAAAACCCAAACCATTGCTCAGTAATAAAGAGATTTTAACAGAAGATCCTGGAGAAGCTTCAGTTCAAGGTGCTCTACCACTTTAACACTGCCTCTACCATTATGAAAAGAAAACTGAAGCAGATACCGACAGGTAATTAAATGAAATAGTAAATTTTTGTACAAGCAATAATACTTACTCCAAAGAAAGAAAGCAGTTAACAAATGGCCTGGGGGAAAAAAAATTACTAAACCTTCAATACACTGTAATTTAAAATAAATTATTTTAACATTTACAAAGTGAAGACTAAACCAGTAACTAGGCCAAATAATTCTGAAACAGAAATAAACTGAACCTCAGCAAAAGCATATTTAGATATTTGACATCTCTGATGCTAGCACACATGTCAGAATATAAACAGAATGCTAATATTTGGTTAGAATCTGAATAGGTAATATTTTTTAAAACACCACCACTGTGAAAAATAACTGGCAACCACCTTTACAATTTTCTCTTGAGTCACACTGTTTCAAGCATGATCTAATCCAGTCCCTTCACTTATTTGCAAGCCTCACTAATTTATAACATTCCCTTTTCTCAGAGCTGCTCATGAAGTCGCAACTATAGCATATCCAAGCACTAATATTTTCAAATCTCACTTGGCTGAGTTACTGCAAAAATACTGTAAGGGCAGTCCAGTTTAAAGTTGGTCTTATCAGACAGCAATGTGGAGAAAGTCAAACACATTGCTCTATAATACCTATAATACCTTTTTTTTTTTCCTTAAGATGATCACACTCTTGATATCAGGGCAAACATCAGTCTTGCTTGTATTGCTAAACCACACTTCTGGACTTCTGCGTTAGTTATTTTTACCACTCTACATACACAGCTAATGTAGAATGTAAGTGGTTCCTTGCTCATTCTGTCTAGCACGCAGCCATTTGACTGTGTATCTCAAGAAAACTGCATTAAAACTTAACAAGCTGAAATGATATGCATATTCTCAACAAACAATTTTGAATACTGTCATCTAATCACAAATGACATGTTTGAAAAAAAAAATTACCGTAAGGGCTGTGAAATTGGTAAGCAAGTGGTTCTAAAGTGAGATACAGCAGTATTAAGACAAACTGCAAACACACTGGATTTAGTATACATTTTAATGAGTTACAGTATCAGCAAAACACTTTAACCTACCCTTACCAGTTTTACTCCCATGTGGCTTAGAGTATACTGTACAATCTTCCCTTAATACTTCTATGACAGTATACATTTCAAGTACCCACCCAAAAGTGAGCAATGTGGGATCTGCAATGATTTATCAAACAAGCCAAAACACCTTCTGTCAAGTGCTACGGTTCTAAATATTTTTGCGGGGTAACAAGTCCTTCATGAATATCTCAAAGTCTCCTTTTTTCTATTTATCTAGCAAAAAAATTTATGCCAAAAAGCAGAACAGCTTCTCCTAGCAGCAAGTAAGACCTCTGATCCTTGCAGTTAAGTCCAATGAGTTCTCTTATCCAACAACTGTGTGGAAGTTCTAGTTCGTGGTTTTAATCAGTTTAAGATAACAAAAGTTCAGAATTTTCATCATCATATTTTGGATGTCTTCAAACCTTGCTTCTCCATGATATTCCACAATTTGCGAAGATTAGACTGAGTGATGACATCATCAGGTTTAAGTTGAAGAGCACGGAGGTAGTTTTCTTCAGCCTCTTTCAGTTTACCGTTCAGATGAAGAATGGCTCCAAGATTCATCAGGGCAGCCGGATACTGGTACAAAAAAATGGATGGAGAAATATTAGGAATATTTTCAATTTTTCTCTTCAGACAGCCTTCTTCCACTTAAGCAAATTATTCCCTTATGTTTGTAGACTTTTCATGGAAGCAGTTTAGCAATTTAAGCAAATAGAGATAACAAGAAAAAGTTTCTGAACAGCTGCTGTATACTTTGTACTTTAAACAGGTCAAGCTCTGGTGTCTACAGGCATAGACTTCTCTGTTTAATGAGGAAACACAGAACACATAAAGCTTTACATGTGGTAATGTAGGCATAGCACAGTTTCCAAGAGAAAATTAAAGTGATCCAAGAGTGGATTAAAGACAGGAATTTAATTTTAATTCAACCCATTGCCAATAAAGAGTTTTTAATCGTTGGGAATAGTTAGCACATTGGAACTCATCCCTTTTCTCTCTTTGTCTTAATTACAACTAGTAGAAAATACAATCTGTTCTCAGATTGTAAGGATGTTCAGGGGTTCTAGGATATCCATTTAGATTCAGGCTGTGGCAATTATTTCTTAATGAATGATTGAATAAAATGAACAGTGGTGGAAACACATGCTACTTTAATAAAAAAGAAGTGAAAAAATCAGAACAAATCCATTAAAAAGCTTCTTATGTTTCTAGCATTTTTTCCATCTTTAGCTAAGACAAAACATTTCTTGTTTTTATATTTTCATCTTTAGATTATTCCATTATGAAATAATAGGATGTTCATGATAATTAAACACGACTGGTTACTGGAGTTAACAAATATTACAAGGGCAGAAAAGCAGATATATGAAGCTGAAAAGAATAGTTTAACCTACCTTTCTTTAACTACCTAAGGCATTCACATGCTAGTGAGAGCACAGGAAAGGCATTTGCAAAACCAGTACCTTTCATTTCAAAGAAAACGGGAAAAAAAACTACACAAAGTTCACTGCGGTTTTCCCTCTCAGGTCACTATCGTTTCCAATAAGCTTCAGGAACGCTCACTTTTGAAATCACATACTTCTGCCTGAGAAGGTAAGTGTTTCAAGACACCACTCACCGATGGTCAAAATACAATACTCAAACGTGAACCCACATGGAAACTCAAGCTTCTGACTACTCTGTGTGGGTGTTGCTATGCTTTAGAGGCCCTTCAGTGACAATAACTTCAGGAAAACATGGATGTAGAAGGCCAATAAAAAATGCCCTAGAGTTGGTCTCCCAGACTCATGAGGTAATAGGAAGTCATTAGGAGAAGTAAGACTTGTTCCAACCTCTCCACTAGCAAGTTAAACTCATTAATCTTATCCTTCTGAAAAAAAAACAAACAAATCAAAAAACCTCCAAACTTCCAAACAAACAAAAAAACAAAACTGCCCAAACCCCATAATACTTGAATTTTTGTGTCTAAAACCTAAATTTTGTGGTGGAAATGTCCAGAAAATTCTCTAGTTTCATAAGTTTTATTTCCTACAAATATTTCTCTTTTTATTCAGCTTTCATCCTGCTTCTTTTCACCTATTAACACAAGTATCACAAAAATTCATAAAGAACTCCAACACACCATATTTTCAGAACAATTGGCTTCCAGACTTTCAAAATTAACCAAAAAAATAAAAAGGGTTCAGCCCTCCCTATTGTAAACATCATAATGCTAATACGGTAGAATGTGAAGTTGTTATTTTTAGATTTAATTTATTTTGCTTTGCCCTGAAAGATTACTTCCACCACCCCTAAGTCAGTTACTTTGTTCTACTAAAAATAAAATGAAACAGAAAGTTCTCCTGGATTTTATACAGTTTTCCCAATCAAGATTTCCTCTTCAGTCATATTCTGTATAGGGAAGTAAAAGAAAACTCATGGGATTTAACCTTTGCTATGGACTGCATATTGTCTCCATCTTTGTAAGACCAGTCTCACATACTATTTTATAAATGAAATAATACACTCCTTTATTACAGATGTTCTGGGTGCTAATTGAAGTGATGTAATTGAAGAATGACTGTAAAACAGCTCCAGTGTATATGGATGACTCTCTATGTATCCACACATTTTATTTATTAATTTATTTGTAGAATTTTCTCAAATCATGAGTAGGATGGTCCATTCCCACTAATTGTGCTCCTTATTTGTCTCATTAGAGTTTATGAATCATACAGCTTTTTTGAAGAGCACAATAATTTGTCTTCCCACTTGTTATATAACTGTACATATGTTTGCATCTAGACAAAGCTTACAACGGGGAAGGATTAAAAAGCCTCAAACCTAGAAAAACTCACATTAAATAAAACAGAAGTTAAAATCTGCTCAGAGCTAATTCTACCACATCCACAAACTTATGATGTGGGAAGCAACACAGTTGTCTCATGTGGCTTCCAGAATTCCTCTCCATTTCCTCCACAACCCCCTGAAAATGTGGTATGTGTATGGTACTAATCAAATACTCTAAAGAACGTCATATGCATAAGACTACATGCCTAGCTAAGAAAACTCTTCTGCCATCATGTCTTTAATTCTATATATAATTTCACTAGCCCGTGCAACAAATACATCTAGAAAAAGAACCAAATCCATTCCTTTTGAGTGAACTTGAAATTTTCCAATTTCTACACGTCATTCCCAGTTTCCTGGAGACACAACAAGGCTGTTAATACTCTAAACAAATGTATCCTTGGACAAGGGGAACTGATAACTCATTTCAGGTACAGCTGAAAGCTTATTCCAAGTCCTGCATGTTTTAAATGAGGAAATGCACATGATTTCAGACAGACTGCTCCCTAAGTTCCTAGGGTATCAGCCACTCTAGTACCTATTGTAAAAGTCACAAGAATTTTGGGTGGCTGCTAGATTACACATCATTGCCATCGCTCCCTGACAGCTATAAATGATGGTCTGAGGACAAGACAGCAAGAGACATTTGCTACAGTTTTTGTTCACATATATTGTCTGTTATTAAAGACAGATGAGAAAACTTTTCAGTATGTTAACAAAGGCAGTCAGCAGCTACCAGTGCAATAACATGGGACTTGTAGCACTGTATAACAAACGACACCACCTACTATTTCAGAGACTTGAAAGGAGAAACAGGCCTGCCTTCATTTCCTTTTGGAGACAGATGCTTTACATCAAAAAAAGCTGACTGGCATTTCTATCAGGGTTATAAATGCTGTCTTTTATGGTCTATTGGGAATTATTCTCTTTATCAGCATTTTTACCACGGTGTGCATGTTTCCTTAGTGTTTTTGAGGGAGGCTTGGGGGAGGTGCACATAGAGAGGAGGGGAAAAGAATAACAGAGTAGTTAATGAATAACAAAATAGCAAAAGGCATGTATTTAGCTGCCTGAGGTGTTTTTGGTTTACATCGATGACAGTTCTTCCAAACTTTCTAAAAATGACTTTATAAAAACCCTGCCAAAATTAAATGAGAGCCTTTGCTAAGCTAAAATTTTAATCTAAATTAAAGTCCTCTCTAAAATTACAGAACTATGGAATGTCCACATAATTCAAAATAATTCTGAGTAGTATTTCTAGATTACATTGGTGTAAATGAGTACAGTACTGAATCCACAAATAGAATGAATCTTAGCAATACAGAAGGTAAATTACTGGCTCCCCATGTAGGAAATGTCATATCAAAAGAACAGTCCCAAACAGAAGAGAAGTTTACTCCTACATCTGCCTAAGAAGTTACGGAGAAAGAAAAAAATACAAACACTTAACCTAACTGAAAACACCTCTTCCATGTTTGTTAGATAAGTATGAACAAACAACATCCCAAACACAAGCAATGAAATCTGAAATTGTTTTCCTCAATGTTCTGCTTAAAGATGACTTCTCCACTCAACACCAGAGAGGCAGGGCAGCAGATTCTGAAAGTGCATTTTGTTGCTGATGGGGTACTTACAAGGAAAAACATGCAAATTTTTACTCCAGTAGAATCACAAGTGCAAGCTACTTCTCAGCCATTTTAAAAGGTCACTGAAAAGATGTTGCCAGTGTTCATCTTGCTCTTAATGAATTACTGCAGTGCATGATATTGTATATGTCTGAAAACAACCTCAGGACTGTTTAATGAATACTGTAATAAGCATGGCCAATCCATTCAAAACACAGAGGCTGTGTTTTATTTTAAAACAGTGCAATTAAGGACACTTGTGTTTTTAAGGGTTCCTGTTGAATAGTTCATACTTAAAGACGGACAGAAAATGTATCCACATGTGACTATTTCATGCCAGTATTTTTAGTTAAGTATGCATGAAGAATTCAGGTATTTCTCTCTGATAACGGAAAATACATTGGAGGTACAGTGACTGAGTAGTGAAGCAGCAGAGTATTAGTTGTAGCATGGTGGGCTGCTTCATCTTATCAGTGACCATGAGATAATGTGCTGTCATGCCTTTTTTATCCTCCTACAGTGACAGCAAGAATTTTGACTTGAACTTTTATTACTTGTGTTATTGCTGTAGCACAGCACAGTATTTTCTGAAGCAATCAAAATGTCAACAGCTCCTTTTTTATCGCTCAAGATAACTGTGGACAATACAATCGTTTCAGGGGTGGCACTTGCTTTCGAGAAACCTCACATCTGAATAGAAACATGACCTAGGAGTCGCACCAAGATGTAAGCATACTACTTTAAAGCATGGGTGTGGGCTGTGAAGGTAAAAGGAGAGGAAGGGGGAGGGACATAAAGCAAGATGGTTGCTGCCAACTGGGTACTACTCTCCAGTGCAATTCATTGTCAACACTAAATTCAGCAGTGACACACAGACCTTTTTACAGGAGTGACCTGATGTTGCCAGATAAGCCAAGTACCAGTTATTCCTTCCAGAGACTCATGTTTCTAGTTGGTCCTGTATGTTATAAGGCCTCTTAAGAACTTCAGTTTGCATATACTATGTTTTGTTCCAAACAGCTCATTAATCACAACTTAAGACAATAATCTCAAGGAAGTTGGCTAAGATGCCAAGAGTAAATTGTCTAGGAACTGATAACTTGATGCAAAAAGCATTCTGGA